AATGGCTTTGACCATAATCTATGACCTGGATTTGTATTCTGCTAGTACAAGTACAGAAAAATCAGAAGTGTGCATGGCCATGTGAAGAATGGCTTTGACCATAATCTATGACCTGGATTTGTATTCTGCTAGTACAAGTACAGAAAAATCAGAAGTGTGCATGGCCATGTGAAGCAGGTGGTCAAGCATTCCTGTCATTAAGCATCCCTGCCTCCAGTTAACCCTCTGCTCCTTGATCTCACTTGATCTCCCATAGTGAGGGCAGTTATACAAAGCCTAATAACAAAGTGAACTCCAGTAAAGCAGGATGGGAAGAAACACCAGGAGGTCAGACAGACACTTAGCCTGAAGTTCCAGAAAAAAATCAATCCAACAAATGGCTTGCTGACAAAAAAGGGGTAACATCTTGCCACCGCCTCCTCTCTAAGTCCTCTTCCACCCCGACCCCTAACCTTTTCTTAGTCCCCTGCTACCAGCCACATGATCTTTTCTCCCCTTGCACTGGCTCTGCTACTTGCAAAACCTTGCCATAAGTGGATTCAACTCATTAAAGCATGAGATAACTATTTATTTTTCTGCTGGGGAGTTTTCTGTCCTGCTGAGAATTGATTTATAGAGGTATACAATAATTGCCTGACATGAAAATATGTTAGAGCACACAGGACCAAACAGGAACAGGGGTACAATTGCAGCTTTTCCAATACTAGTAAGCAATTCAAGCTGTTTATTCCAATGTACAGCACTGCATCTTTGAGAGAAGTTGGATTAAAGTGGAAGTGGTCAGGCATTAAGTGGAAGAAATAAGCACATGATCAACATAAGAGGGAAGCCGTAAAATCACTCCATACAGAGGAATATGAGAATGTGAGAAACAGAAAGAGCTTTTATTTACTGAATGTGAAAGTAAAATTATTGAAAGCATTTTGAATGTACTGCATTTAAAGTAATTCTCAGTACAGTGTATTTCAAACTGTATATAATAGGAAATTTCTTCTAAAATGCCTAAGCTAAGGGAACAATGTATTGCATCTTCCCGAAGAAACAAGTACCCTGTAAAGTCTAAAAATTGTAGGCAGCAAGCTACACCTTGCCTCTCAGTGCCACAGAACGTAACCATACTGGTACTTCGCTAGAGCTTCTGAGGTGTCTCATAAGTACATCCACACAAAACAATAAGACTTGATATCTTAAAATTCATTTCCAGAGTATAAAAATAACACTTACTATTAAATTCTGTTTTGCACAATGTAGTTCAAACATAAGGAAATTCAGACTTGCAACTACAGTACCGATATCAGCTCTGTAGCGATCAGAGAACAAGTCAATACCAGGAATAAGCATATTTGTTTCATATTCTGCAAAGTCACAGTCAGCTGTCGGATGTGGAAGAGAAGCTCTAAACAGGGCCTGAAAGTAATAATAATTAACAATTGTGAAAAAATGAATAGGTATTAGTGAAACTATAAAACTCCCACCTTTGAAACTCATAAATGACTTCATAAATGAAACTCAGTCAATGTCTTCAGGAAGAATCCAGTTGTTTCCAGAAAAACAACAACCATGAAAAATCTTTTTAGAAACAATGCTTTATGTGTGAACATGATGGAGGAAAAAAAAAGGCTGTAAATAGTCTAAGGACAGTATTTCATGGAACAAGCAAAGGAGAAAAACTAATCTAGGTATAGAAAAATAATCATGAAAGATTCCTAAGCAACTACTCCCCAGGTAATGAAAAATCTTCCTAAATAGCCAGTCTGAGAGTGTTTCTCTCAGATTCCAAGTCAAAACATCCCAAATAAATGAAAGCACTGGGAGGGTGTGGGGGGTGAAATCACTAGGGGTTCTCACAAAGACTGTAATTCTTAGGATAAACCTGTCATCAGCAGACAGAAAGAACTTAATAATTTCTTCAAACATCTCCATAATCAAGGAAAATGCATAGGAGAAATTTGTTGAGATGATTCTGGTAATGTGTTCAAACGTTTCTTTACAATTCCAAGGATGTTTCATGGAAAATGTCTTCCATCAGAAGAAAAAAATCTTGTTTTCCCCACAAGCTAAGAAAGCTACTTTGATTTTTCTTAGCCTTACGTCCTCACCTTGCCACCACCACCTCAGTCGTCATTTCTGGGAGAGTTGCTGACTTTAAGGCCAGTTAACAGCTAGGGTCACCCTAGTTCCGCCCTTAACTGGATCAACTAGTGCAGCTTAAATCATAAAACTTAAAACTGCTGTGAGTGATCTTTAAGGAAGTAACTTAAATGTTCCTCCTTTAAAAGGGGAGGAGTGCTAACATTGTCTCTGATGTTGAATATTCCTTCCCAATTGTGTTTATCTTGCTGTAATTAGCAATGATATGCTAGAGAAATATGCATTTACATACTCAGATCCAAGATATTAACAAGCCTAAAGCCTACATCAGAGGTGAAATTTAAATAAGGTTATAAAAGCTTTCCAAATCAAGGAACAAATTATGGGCTTGAACTTTGAAAGGTACAGTGACAGTAATTGATTATATTTTTCAAGACACTCACCCTGCAAGCTGCTCCTATCCTAATTAATATCAGACCTATTGCAGTCAAGTCACAATTATTTTTACCGTTATACAACTGGAACAAATGCTTACTACTATTTCTGTCAAAAGGAGAAACCAAAATTGTTCAGCTTTGTAACACCAGCAATTACAGTGCTAGAAGACAGTCAGAATACTTCTTTACCTTCATTTCTTCAACTTGTTCTCCCTTTGCTGAACTTAATGAGGTTTTAAACATGGCCTAGCACAGGTCACACAGTCACGACCATGGCTGGCACAAGATGTTAGAAACTGGCCTTAGTTTGTTTTGAGAAGCCAACTCACTTTCTGATGCTGCACAGGTATGAGTAAGCACTCACTGATCCCAGTGCAGTATGACTGGCAGAATACTTGCAGTTCTTTTTCTGATGTCACTTTTGTTACTGGTATCTTAAAACTTCCTTTTAAAAGCTAACTGAACCCCTTTTTTCCACTATAGTAAGTTTCTGAATGTTTCCCCACTCAATTTTAATGAACTTATTTTCCTTGTAAATGAAAACAAATTATTTTGACCATGCTCTGTTTTTAGAGCAGACTTCTTATACAGCTGAGATCTTAGTATTACAAACCAATATCTTTCAGTGCTAAAAAAGATTCAAAAACTTATTTTTCTAAAGAGTCTGTTCTCCTGGATGAAAATTTATGACAATCTAAAGACTCTGTACAGATCTGACAGACAGCTCTCTGCTAATGTTGATGCCATCCAGTTTTTCCTGAGCAGAACACTTCAAGAGAAAAAAAAAAAGAGATTTCACTGCCAAATATTTTAGCCATCTTCACCTTTCAGTATTTCATGATTTCTCTAAGACCTCTAATTGAATATTCCTCTTATTGAAGTGATAATTTTTAGGCTGTAATACAGGAATAGTGTTAAAAAACAAAGAATAGAAACATCTAACCTAATGTGCATAAATTGTCAATTACCACCAATCTCCAGCTTTCCTTTACAATCAAAATGAATAGAGAAGAATTTTAATAAAGGGTTATTGAGATTTAAGTTTTAGAAGCAATTTGCCAACTTCATGAATTCTAACTGAAATTGTGTTCTTACCTTAAAAAGTATAGCAGAAAAATAGCAGTATTTAGTTCTTAATCTCATCTTTGATGTTGTTATATACCTGAAGTTCAACAGACAATAAGAAATATGAATGTGTCCATCAATATAAATTATTCAAACTCTTCTTTTATCTAACAATAATGATAGTAACACTATTTAGATGTTTTCCATACTAGAAAACAACTGCCTGTTCTGTAGATAGGTGCTCAGCCATGCCATGCAAAGAAAGAAGTTTCTGACCCAATATATACCTAGATAAAGGGAGTTGTCTAGATTCTCTTTAAAGTTAAAGGAGAGAAAGAGGGAATCTAAGTGCAAAATTGATCTCAAACAAAACTAGAAAGATAAAGCAGGTCAAGCAACTCACACCTTAAAGTGTATTTCTTTCCATAAAGGAAGCCTAAAAGAACTAGCACGCATGGACTTTGACGTGGCAGGTGTCTAGCTGGATTAAATGAATCCCACACAGCACCTCAGGGCTTTAAAACACCGTGGTAGTGGGGTACTCCCCTGGATCTACAGTATCAGAAATCTTTAATACAGTATCAGAATCCTTTAATCTGCATTTTACAGCCTGAGACTAAGTTGCTCTAGAAAGAGCGACTCAAGAGAAAGATGTTTAACAGCCCAAGTCAGGTCTGAGAAAAGATCTGCCTGAGGTAGAAGCCACGAGGATAGCTTCCTCCAGATCCCTGTCATGATTTGGAATGGACATATGAGCAGTAAAGGAATAGTATGCAGTGGAGCAAATACATGTCAGAAGCATCTGTAAAAGCAGCTAGGCATTGGGTCTTTCCTGACTGGACCTGAAACTGCACCACAGCTCAGAATTAGAAGAGCTGGGGTTTAGAATCACTTAAACTCCCTCCTTTTCCTCTTGGGTGCTAATTCTGAGTGTGCCAATGCTGTTTGATCCTGAAATACCCATGCTAATACTTTAACCGCTACTTTGGTTTACAGATACTTTACAGGGCTATTAATATGACCAGCTTCTTGGGTAAGACAGTTTACTCTGATGAAATTCTGCCCTTTCATGGGTATAACGCTTCTAAGCTGGCTTAGACATTTTATATTTTATATTTTGCACATTTTTCTATTGTACAATATGTTGAGGAACAGCTCAGAATTACATCCATAGTGTCTTACCAGCAGTCAAGGAGTACTGGTCGGAAATATTTATTGATGGTAGACTTTAATACAGTAATTCAAATTTCATTTAGTTGTAATTCACCAGAAAATGAGTACTTTAGGCAGTAAATCTGCCCTCAAGATAGATTAATATTTAATATGTGCAATGACTTGGGAGATGTGATATTTCAATTGAAAATCAATATGACTGTAAAATCCTTGTGCTTATGACTTTATCATTTTGTTTTATTTCAATGATCTTTCTGTATAATATACAGCTGCAATTATGATCAAAGATGAGCACTCAAGAAAAGGGAACAAATGATATTCTCCAAAAGAGCAACTTTCTTCCTGAAAGGAAAAATTCCTCTGCTTTTGATGAGCCTTTTTTATAGCAACTCGTTAGTGTTTTTAAATTCATTTCAAGCTGCCTACTCTCCTGGATGAGCAATTTGTTTAAAATATGAAAGAAACATATAGATGAAATACTTACTGAGCGATCTTAGCCACTAAGACTGCTGCATGTAAACATCCCCAAACTCCAGCCTGAGAAAGAAACTTCTGACTAATCTCAGTTGATCTTCCAACTGCAAGGCAGTCTGTAGCATTTTTTTTAAAAACTAACTCTTGCCAGTTGTTAAGAGCATCAGCCATGTTGAGTGTTTCATCAAGGGCTTGACACCAATGTTTAAAAGCAGCTCTGTAACACATAAAAAATATCCTCATCATATTGCTGACATTTTCCAAAGTGGAAGATAAGACTCGCTTCAATTTACCTTCATTGCCTGAGATATAACTAATTCTGATTAGGTCAGAAACTGAAATACTGTTTCTACAACAGAAAAAGATACCATTCCTGGTCAACAGACTTACTGGGACATATACTAAAATAAGATTGTCAAGGAATAGATATTACTTCTTAAAAACACAGAGAGATGCTTAATTAATTTGTTTAACTGCAATTAGCTAGCTAAGAAAATTAAGCAATTTCTAGAAAAAAAGCCTCTCAAAATATAGCTAATGGTGAGTTAGATTACTGAGGACAGTACAAGAATTTACAAACAGTTGTAGGGAATATGAATGCCAATTAAAAAAAAAAAAGAAGAAAAAAAAATACTCTTTTTTAAGCCAATAACTATGTACCTTTTGTTTCCAGCATAAATGTGAACATTTCCAAGTTCATGTAGAGCCTGAACCTTGAGGTCTCTCTGATTGTTTATTTCAAGGATTCCTGTAATTTATTTTTTAATCAATTAAAAAAAAATGGCACATAATTAAATCAGTTACGGAATCTTGCAGAAATTTTGCATGAGTAGACAAGTATTCACAAGTGATTCAATGCATGAATATTATTTGAAAGAATGATTAGGTTTGTATTTTAGCTTCCAATGTACAAAATCTTATTTCTACTAACTTTGAAAACAAGAGTATATTGTGTTTTATGAACCTGTTTACATAAGCTTTTATATTTTTGTTTTTTTCAGACCTCTCAAACTTATTCCTCTTCAATAGATAAACACGGAAGGAGGCCAATTGAACCTGCTAAACAACACTGCCTGCATACAGCACAGTAGCACTGTCCCTGCTCATTTCTGGACCCCTTACTTCAAACAAAACCCCTTATGGCATCTGTTTACCTGCTACACTTCACCTACTTTGTCAAACGGGAAAAGCAGGTAGTAGTGCTGAGCTGTAGCTGTACGAGTAAAGCCATACTAGAATGTATGATGGAAGCCAAGCAACTAGGTCTTATATTGAAATGCACAGAATTGGAAAGGTCTGTTTGCTAGAAAAGAAATTATCATGGAATTAAAATGAACCTGCTAAACATTATAGCAGATTTTTAATTTGGGATTAATCAGTATAACACCACTGAAGTAATGCATTTTCGTAAGATGAGATAAATGTAGAGGTTGTGAACCAACAAGTGGCTTGTTTATGATCTAATGCAGATTTTATAAATCAACAGAAAGAAGGTTATGTATTTCTGGAATCCAGCTCTCAGACAGTTCTAGCTGTCCAACAGAGGAAAATAACACCGGAATAAACCTACATGAACACAGATAGGCAGAATGATATTACATCTTAGCTGTAAACAGAAATTTATGAAAAAATTACCAATTGTTTGTTCATAGGAAGAGATAATTACTGAAAGCTGTGACTGTGGTATTGGTTTACTCTCAACCATCCTGGAGAAATTAAATTTTTCTTGAGAAAGGTCACATGGTGTTGATAGAAATATCAGTTCAGCTCCCACATTAAATTCCAGCCTTCTATTTGAAGAGATATGACTGCTGACTTTTCTTCCAGCATTTTCTAGACCAGAAAAAGTGATTTATATGATCAGTTTGGAAAAGCATGATACTATTTCCAGCACCACAAATATTTCCACACTGCATTACTCAAATACTCAGTTCCTGCGTACCCTATTTTTATCTGGTTTCCTATGCTGATTCTGTCTGTGTGTCTCCTAATTAAACCCATTGGTCAGTGCAACCAAATGAAAATATGTGCTCTGTTAGAGAAAATAAACCTGGAAACATCTGCCAGTCAGCCCTCTGACAGAGGTTTGGCTGCAGACAGACAAGTGACACAGCTGCATGAAAAATTTACCATTCAACCATGAGACATAAATCACAGGAAATCAGGCTTAGAGCTTGTGCTTACAGAACTTCATATATAACTTTATATTCTATCTTTTCTCTAATTGTCAATAACTAAACCTTGAATGAAAAAAAAAATATTTCTTTCACTCTTTACTATTTTAACTGCATATACACTTTATTAAGTGAGAAACTTTTCAATAAATAACTCACCTTGTGTGTGTGCAAGAAATAATGAAAGTAGTTTTCTGCTGTGTCTCAGGGCTCTGCTGTGATACTTAGATTTTTGTAGAGTTTCTCTAAAACATTCCAGTGTATCATTCACATCAAGAGGTACATAAACTAGGCGTTTTACTTGACTGCTGTCTAAAAGGAATTAATAATTATGGAGAACAATTATGCATTACATATATGTATTTTGAACAAAACATATATTTGAACAATTCTACAACTTCAAAACTAAAATATATAAATGTCACCTTTGTTCCTTGTTGGATTACGAATTTAAGCAAAATTATTAACCAAGAGGACTGTATCATTTGCAGTGTTACTTTTTAGTTGTCACGTAACATGTAATATTCCTTGAAATCCATCTGCCCTGGGCATGCCTCATCTCAGCTCTCTGCTCTGGACTCTGGTGTCTGAAGCCTGGAAACAAATCTTTTACTACAACTGCTGATCCTATTTACAATTACTGTAGTTTTTATGTACCAAACCTGTGAGTTGGCATGCTGTCTCTACCAAAGGCACAGTATTATTTACTCTTCTTACAATCAGCATTATTTGTTGTTCAATTAGCTTTCTCAGCTCAAAGCCTTGTGTGTGATGCGCTGACATTATCTGTGATATGAGGAGCTACGGTTTACAAACTCCCACTAATGACTATAGCATTTTAATTCTGACTGAAAAGAACAACTGTGGGTAAAATAGGTGTTTTGTCACCTTATAGTTCAGTTTTTCTATTGATTCTATCGATAACAGTGTAGGTGCACAGGAAGTTCTGGGTTTAGTGATGGACAGCCCACAATACTGACAGAAAACTGGACCAAGACCACCAAGCTCACTCAACATACCGTAGGTCATCTGGCATCTGGATGACAAGTGCTTTTCTTCTTTTTTTCAGATACAGTCTGAATATATTTGGAAAAGTCTTGACAACATTACGAAATATCAAGAATAATGATTTGAAGACAAAATTGAGTTTGTATTAAAAGAAACAGGTTATAGGAGAAGTAGAAGATCTAAGATAAGGAGGAAAAACAAAGAGAAAAAGTATAGAGTATGAAAAAAAGGAAAGGAATTGGGAGAATAGAGAACTCACAATACTGAAATGTGCTCTCACCTGTATAATCTTTTTTCCTCTCAGGATAGAAAAAGCATCCAGGAAAAATAAGTTCACTAGCAGAATGGGAAATAGGCAGCTGTAATTTCTGTCCTATGTAGCTTCTGCAATTCACCTAAAAAGCAAGTTTTGTTTCATGATAATTGAAGAGTATTCAGCAAAATTAATATTTGATATTAAAGTATCTAAATACTCAGTCATATGACAAAATAATGGAGGACTAATTTACAATTACACCAATGACCCATAATAGGTACTCTTGTGACTAAGAGATGAAACATTCATAACACTTAAATATTGGATATAACATATAAGCGTTTATATGTTAATGAATTAAACTTGTATCTTATTTGGTATTTGCCATGATCATGAGCAAATATGTTGACATTCAGAAAATATTCCACTTTTTTGTCTGGATTAATGCGTGCTTGCAAAGAACCCGTCAGTGTGAGTATGTGAAAGAGCACGCTGCATGTAAAGCACAATGTAATGCTGCATAGGGATACACAACATAGCTCTAAGCAAGTAATAAAAGCAGTCTGAGTCTGTCAGAGAAACAAACTTCCAGATTTCTATCAAGGGCTAATCCAGTTCAGACATTTTATTTTGCTATATCACTTCAGAAGCAAAAGAACTAATTCAGAGCTAGTTCTAGACTCTCTGAACCGCACTGCATTGTGACATGTAGCCATACCTTCTATATTGCTAAACTGAGGATGTCTTTTTTGAACGATCCTTACTACTATGAACTAACTTTAGTCTTTGTTCTGTAAGTTGTTCTTTCAAAACTATAAAACTTTTTCACATTGCCTAGATTACAGCAGTATGTGGTGGTTTGCTACACTGCTCTTTTTAGACAAACGACTATGTTCTGAACGGCAGGGCCTGAAAGAAGTACGAAGGAAACGGCCTTACAGAGAGACAAGACAGAGCACCTCAGCTGCCCTCCACAAGCCCGGAGTGCCTTCTGAATTCCTGCAAGCCCTGGGCACCAGTGTGCTGTCTCTAGGCAAGGCAGTGGCTCCTGAACCCCATGCTCAGAACAAATCCATTTGAAATTTCAAACCCCACTTTTCCCCACCTCCTTCAAGTCCTGTGTTCATATTAGTAATAGAAACATATTTAAAATATCAACCATGCGATTGACTTTAGCCAAAATTTTTAGAAATAAATCTTGGGTTCAAAAAACCAAAAATCCTCATTTTAAATAGCTAATTCCATGAAAAAATTCCAAGTGGCAAAGTCAGTTTACTATATACAGAGAGACATGGCTTTTAAGGAAAGGAATTTGCTGAGCGGCAGGGCTTTTTTTTGGTTGGTGATCAAGTTTTTCAAGCTCTTTATTGGTATTGTCAGTGTTCGGGTTCATTCAATTTGATTAATTTTGGTCTTCAGGAGCAGCATTCAATGCAAAAAACAAAGCAATCTCTTTATGTTTACATTTAATTAACCACAAAGATTGTGCAATATCCAAATAAATGTTTTCAGGTTAAAAGAGTGGCATCAAGAACTAACATGAAATTAGATTTAGGCTCATAATATGGAATGGGTACATTGTGCATGGAAGAAATGTTCTCCGGGTCATCAAGTCCAGACCTCTGCTGCTGCTGCAATCATGTCATATAAGCCTTTTCACGCACTTCAATCAATTATGTTCATTAATTTATTATAATTTACTATTTGCAAACATTATAAAAAACCCTATTAATGTAATCAGTGAAAGTACTTCTCTATATTTAGTTCACATTAGGAGTCAGTGCCCAGAAAGAAAATCTTGGTTTACCTTATGTGCATTATCAGACAGATACTTTATGAAATGAGATTCACAGCTGCCTGGACCAGTGAACTGTTGCATCCTTTCCAGCAGCTGCCTCTGAGCATACACCAGCAGTGGACTCACTTGTTCTGTGTATCTCTCACTGAAAAAAACCCGAAGTATAGTTATTAAGCAAAATAATGGTATGTTTAACTATATAATGTTGCTTTTTAGTTTTTATTAGAGTTGGTGTAACTCACTGTGTAAGTATGTTGAATTGTACAGCTATGTGTACCAGTGCTCCCCACTTCTTCATGTGATACAACGTTTCTATTGTTTTCAGAATCAGATTACATATCCATTGCAAGTCAACCACATTCACATCATCCAGGGGAGACTGTAGATGGAGATTAGAACCACCATTCTCATCCATAATACCTCCTAAACAACTGGGAATGCAGAAGTCTCCTTCAGGATCCACAATCTACAGTGAAGAAACATTATTCTACCCGTTATTTTCAAACTTGTTTTCAGGACTTTATAATCAAATTATAAAGGCCAGATAATACTGTAATCCTCTAAAACCTTGTTACAGAGAATGACTTGCAGATACCAGAAAATTATGCAAAAGAAAGAAAACTACCTTTGCTTAAGATGGGGGAATAAAGAGTACACTGTCTTAATAAAATCATTTTTACCTTAAGAGATCTGCTTGCTTGTAGTTCAGTTATCATATCGATGAGCATGTCTGATGCCAAGTAAAATGGCAACCAGATGGTGTTCGTAAGAAAACCCCCGGTAATGGGAAATGCATCCATATGGGAATGTGAATGGTTAGCAATCATCTGTAATTCTTGAGTATAATTCCAAAGTTCTCGACAAGCATTTTGAAGCAATGTCCAGTAGCCACCACGGTGAGCGAGAACCTATGCATATCATTCAAAATATAATTGTACTTAGGAAATACAGAAATTAAAAGCGTCATTCTTTTATTGCAAAGCTTAGGTATAAGTAATCCTCCAAAACTGCAGTCTATGGATCATCCTTAATAACAGATCATTCAATATTTCGATTTATATAAAGCGTTATAGAACCTTAATTTGGAAATTTTCACAGAAGCACTAATTTGAAGTACGATTTTATAATTGAATTTTATTATTGAATTTAATTGTTGCTTTTTGTGTGAGAATAAGAAATAAAAATTAATTCACAACACCCACACAAGATCTTTTATTTGGTTTTAGAAGGGTTTATGGGAAGAGTAGTCAGTCCGTAGTTCCCTTCAATCACTGGTCAACTCCTTGTGTTTATACTACTGAAGGCATTCACTGAGACCCGTCAAGGGATGGGTAAGTCTGTAAGCATTTTCAGAATGATTTAACAAATGTGAGAAGGAGAGTTTCAAAGACTAAATGAAAACTAAAATATTTATATAAATTATTGTATGTTGAACACACATATACATTATGATAGGCGATATGTCTGACACTTCATACACTGTCCTTGGACATTTTGCAGGTGATGAGAAATCATTGCTTTTTCCCACTGAAGGTTTTTGAAGTTTTTGAAGTGTGGGGTATTTTACGGCAGAAATTAGTAAATATTGTAATGCAATGCTTAGTAACAAATAAAACATTTAACAAGAAAGCCTATCTTACCACTGCTCTTCTTAAATGCAAAAAGATTTTTGTAAAATGCTCCAATAAAATGGTATTTGACAGAAGCTGGTTGTATTCTTCGGGGGAATGAGAGATGGGTATTTCTGTATCGTTTGTTGTTTGAGTTTGAGGAGTATCTGTTCCACTCAGTTCAATGCTGTGCTCAGAAGATTTATCTGTACCCAAAGACAAAAAGTTCACTGGTTAAAAATGAGTTAAAGTTCTCAAAAAAAAAAAAGAAAAAAAATTATCAGCCAGCTAGGATTTTCCTGTGGCAGCTAAATACTTAAATGTTAGCAAATGCCAGTGTTAAGGTTATCATATTTATAAGGTTATGATATTTAAAATATAAGATGCTTTCACTTAAGCATTGGGAGAGGCAAGGATTAAAAAAAAAAAAAATTGAGCAAAATAATGATGTGTACCAAACAGTTTTCAGTCTCAAAGCCAAAACACAACCCTCGTAGAAGTTTTCGGAAGAAATCACTGTTGTAAGCTCCCAAGAATCTTTCAGAAACCAAGGCCTCTTAAAAGAAGTTAGTAAGAAGGGAAAATTTCTGACAAGTTCTGTGGTATGTGTAGCATTGCTTCATTATTTTATTCAATACCAAACATTCTCTAAGGTGAAACACAAGATTCATGGTAGTGGGATACAGTAATATCTGACATACAGGTTATAGGCAGAAGCGAATTTTAAGCTAAACACTATTTGAACTCTATGGCAAACTACACACTTCATGAAATTAATTCATTCAGAATTGCTGCAAAGGCTAGGAGATAGTAAACAGGATTTTCATTAGTTTTCAACAGCTTTCAGTGACTTGGTTCTCAGTGATTTGTAAGCAAGACAAAAAAGTATAACAAAGTAAGCTGTTGCAAAGAGAACCAGTGAATTCAACCGCTAGTTTTTGTCACATCTCCTTGGAAAAGGCAGCAGAGAGTTGATTCCTACCCAAGAAAGTTCTACATGGAACGACAGGAAGATTTGCTCTCTACAGCTGTGGCAAGAACGTTTCCCTGACGCACTACTGAAAAGACCAGGCTTGTGATTTCTTCTTGAACTTCTGATGGCTAAGCAGACTACTTTGTGTTGACTTGTATGTTATCATTAAGGTCTGAGGTAATCAAAGTCCTGTATTTCACAATTACCTACAAACAGGAGCCTTTTGGCTCCTGTTGAAACCTTAAAGGATACAATCATAGAATGGTTTGGGTTGGAAGGGACTTAAAATTATTCATTATTGAAAAGAGCTGGGATAATAGAACAGTCAAATGTGAAAGACAGAATTGAAGTTAAAATGGTAGAAGATAAAAAATTGATCCTGAGGTAGCCGCTGCCATAGGAAAACAATGGGGAGCAAGTAGAGGAGGCAACTTGAATGATTCTACTTAAAATTTGAAAGACAACAGTAAAATTCAGTCTATTTTTGTAAGAAAGACTTACAGAATGACCCAGGAAATTACTGACCTGTTAGGAAATCTAAAGGAAATTACAGACCAATTAACAACCACAGAAACTGATATAAATTATGACTGCATTTCTTATAATCTGGAATATTATCAATTTAATAGGTCTAGGTAGTGTGGCTTCTGCAACCTAAAAGCTAGTATCACTGATTTATTAGCATTTATAAACTTGTTACTAAAGTATAGGGTAAAGAATAACCGCTTGATAAAAAGTAGCATATTTATCAATGCAATAAACAGTGCTCAGAGTTATTACAAATGCCCCATAACTGCCTATGACTTCTTTTATACTAGGTATGCCAAAAAGAGAAAATACAGAGGACACTTTTGAAATGCAGAAACCCTTCTCTTTAAACTGGCATGAATGTTTTTCCAAAGGTGTTGTGCAGAACACATGATGGAGGTCAAGATGGAAATTAAGAGAAAGAAAAAGTTAAGTTGAAACTGATTGCAGTTATTCAGGCATTAAAAGTTCTTACAAGTTTGGTTTTCGGTCATTCCTGACTTTTTAAGTAGAAGAGGAGTCGGTGTTCTCATGTTATTCTCTACGGCTTCTCTCACTACTACAGTGCCAGAATTATTTAATGAGAATATTTCAGGATCCAAAGTACTGTAACTGCAGAATGGGAAAAAAAAAGAAGAAAGCACCAAAAAAAACCCCAGATGTAATATTAAAAAGAATTTTGATATACATACACAGAATTCAGTTTCTCAAAAGTGAGTTTTGATTACGTTCCAGCAGCTTTAGGAAGCAGAAATAATGAATGATAGCCAAAAGTTATAAGGAATCAAAAAATAGCTCAGTATAGTATATTTCAAAACTGTCACCTGACAGTCAAGTAAGCAACTAAAAATGCATGTATCACCTGGAAAGCAAAACTTGTTACATAGTAAATCAGTTTGCATTTCGAAGCTGTATGGTTCATAGGACAAACTGGCGCTGATACTGCACCACAGATCTGTTTGCATTAATGGCAATACCACAATAATCTGTGTTCATAGCAACCACTGATAATGCAGTGAAGATGTACCTGTCCAGATGCTGCAAACCACAAATTCCAACATTACACTGCTCTTCCAGTTTCTTTTTAAATAGGTTGTAGTGTGCAACTGCCACATAGATATTCATCTGAGACCTCCAGGGCATCTCTTCAAGACACATTTGATGAAACTTCTGTCGGTTTAAGTAATTACTCACGATTGGTTTCAGCAGCAGCACTAAGGTGTGACGAGCTACTTTTTGCAACTTTTCCCTGCATTTCCTAAACCAAAAGATATGAAGCATCAAAAAATGGAACTTTGTTTCTTGAAGTTCTAGAGAGGAAAATCATGGTAAAGATATACAGAAAGTATCCCATTGCATATCCAGACTTGTGTTAACTCAGACGCATAAACACACGACATATTTCTAGCAAAAGGATTTTTGCTGCAGTCAAGTAATTGGCCTTTCCCTCTTTAAAGGCACTTAACACACACTAAATCCTATCTTACATTTTATCAACTTCCGTAAGATATTTGTCTTATCACTTACAAAAGGTTTAGCTCTGTGTTTGAAGTTACTTGTACTTGAATCACCCAGATTATTATAGCAAATACAATGTGTTTCACAGAGTCTGTTCAGAAGATGAAAAGTCTATCATTATACTATAAATATGGATCATTCTTTTTATTGCTGTGTTTTGGTAGCTAATCATCCTCAGTGGGAAGAAAACACTTTATTTCAAATTTGGATGCTTGGCTTTAATTTCCAGCCTTAGATTTTTTTTTTTTTTTAATGTTTCTCTGCCAGATCTAACAATTCTGTATTACCTGGCACACATCAAGCCCCATTTTTAATTTTTTATAAACAATAAACTGTTCCCTTTATCAACCTAAATTATTTTTCTGCCTGTTTTCCACCTTTAAAATGTGGGCAGAATAGTATGCCATATACAATATTAATTATTTTAAACAGCAATATTATTATGTAAGATATGAAAGAGCAGCTGAAAAAGCAAAAAGACCAGGATAAGTTAAACATCCCCTCTTCCACTGAAAGCCATGAAAATCATGGTAAGGAAGATAGCTTTTTCTGTAGAGGCAGAAAAATAGGCAGTTTAGGTAAACATTCAGAAGTTAGTATATGGAAGACTTTTTTGAGGTTCATTATTTAAAACACTTCCAGAATCAGTTATGTGATTGCTTATTCAGATATTCTTAGTTTCCTACTTGCTAATTGCTGGAAGCATAAGTGGCCAAAACACCAGGTAATGAATTCTACATATCTTTCTAGGTCAGAAGCTACCGTTATTAGTAAGTTAACCAAATACATACAATTATCTGCCAAAAGAATAGTGAATGAATTTCCATTTGTTTCTATCAAAAAACAGTTTTCCAAAAGCTACAGAACAGAGAATCCAAAAAGAATTAGAAAACAGATGATGAAAATTACCCCAAAACTACCTGAACGTTGGGAACAAATAAACATTCCTTATTAGATTTCTAACAGGTAAGCCTCCCAACACAGTTGGGAAAAAGCAGCATAGTACATAGATTAACACAGCTTTTCCACCATGACGTATCAACACGTTCAAGCTAACACAAATGATACAGAGTCTTTGATTATCAACACAAAGACTTCAACATCTTCAACAGTTATTCTTTGAAATAGATTTTGTTCTCTTGAGTGGAAGCCAATTTTATACCAAACTGAAACAGAAAATGAGTGCACTGTGCACAAATTCATCCCTTTGACCAAAAAAAAAAAAAAGTTTTAATATACACACTTAATTGTAAACTAAATTTCATACAAAGTATTTTGGTTCTGTATATAAACCTGACAACTTATGTTCATTTACCTCTGTGATTCTGGAGATTTCATTATGTTCGGATGTTTCATAACATACTGTCTAAGGCACTGTCTTTTTTGAATAGGACTCAAGGCTTCTTTCCTTGGTTTCTTCGAAGTTGATGCCTCCATTTTCTTTAAAGGTGAGTTCTCTATACTCTTTAAAAAAAAAAAATACATGAAAATCTTAAATATACTTAATATACTTAAATATATTTATACCTACATTATCAATTACTTGACGTATGCAGCAGTTTGGCTTATGCAGGAACAGAACAGAAAATAAATTCTGGAACTGTTTGTCAAATTAAGACAACAAAATAAATATGTAATATTCCAGAAAGTTTTACAATGTTTCTGGAAGGTTTATGTCAATGCCAGACACCAATAAGCCAGCCAGGTCCTCAAATATTTTCTTTCATATATCAATGTTTTTCATCTCAAAAATAATGATAGTATTTTTCCTATTATTAAAAATAGTAAATCTTTGCAATGCAAAAACTGAGAAAGAAAACCCTTTCCCTAATCTACCTAAGATGCTAGCAGTATTACAGCATTATTAGAGGACTATGAGGGAGAAAATTCTTACTCCAAAACAATACAAATCAATAAAGATTATTCTTACCTTCCAAGAAAAGCAAAAATTTATATTAAAATAATTCTGAACAAAAACCCTTTATTGTGTAATTAGAATACCTGCCTAAGGAGTTAATCATGAACAACTACTCATGGAAAAGCGTAAGTACAACATATTGTACAAAAAGGTCTAAACTAATATTCATGCAATCATAGGATGGTTTAGGTTGGA